CGCATCCCCCTTCTGTTCTGAAATTTGATTTGTCCTTTTCATACGTGTTCATTTTTTTTTAATTGTATCCTTTGGTATATATGGTTGTGACTATTTTCTTCCACTATTTGATCTGAGGAAGTGGGTCTGGCCCAACAAAGCTCATCATCTAATAAACCATCTTGTCCTGTATTTTGTTTCTCTTGCCATAAGTTATATATTGAATGATGAACATTAGAGGTCAGGGACTTAAGTGGTAGGCTGAGACCCAAAAGGATGCAGTAGTTTAAAAAAAAAAAAAAGAGATAGAAGCCATATGATGTGTTTTCTAGCCCCAGAGCCTCAGGGAATAGCCTGAATTGCATCTGATGTGTGCAGGAGGAGGAGAAGATGAAATGCCTTGGACTGGAAGAGAGAGGAAGTGATTGGGAAACAAGTTCTCTGTTACGACATATGAAAGAAGTATTTGTTTTGTGGAACCTAATTTTTCTGAATTGTGGAGTACTTGCAGCTTCTGTCAACTTCCTGTTCAAATGGCGGGTGCTCAGTACTTCTGAAAATCAGAATTATAACATATTTCTGTGAAATTGGCAGGTGGTTGCCAGCAATGCTTATGAAAAGACCTTTAGGCTAAAGTGTCAGAGCACAGAAGGAAGTGTTAAATTCTAATCTCTGATTTACAAGTCTGGCAGCACATACTGCTCACATGGAGTGTGATTTGAATAATGATGTGTCTACTCCTAATCTCATTAACCCTGATTTAATCCAGGATTTTATTGCGTTAATGCTTGCTAACTTCAATAGCACTAGTCAAACAAGCATTCCTGTAAATATCTTTCTAAAAACATATGTCCGTGAGACTTTTTTTTTTTTTTGAGAGGGAAAAGATGCAACTTAAATGAGAAGACTCCTTAAAACACAGGGAACTGGATTTTACCCTTGTCTGTATCTTGAAATCAATGGGGTTTCACAGTTTGTTTTATGTTTATGGTAAATACAGTGGACTTTACTTTTTGCCTTTGTAATCAAAGGCTGTAGAAGCTTGGATTATTGGGTTAAGAGAGTGACATACATTTGAAGGGCAGCTCTGTCAAGAAACAATAAGCTTTTACCAAATATGTATAATTTGCCTAAATCTTTTTATGCCAAAAGGCTTTGTGCTATGGTATTAAAGAACTGTGTGGAGACTGGGATGTTGGGTATATTTTTCTGGACTGGTGAGGGAAATGGATGAGCTGTCACTATGGCTTTTTAAAAAACGGTGACAAATAAAAATGTCAGTATTTCAAAGTTGATATGTTTTTGTTTTACATAGTGATTTTACTTTATTTTCCCCTTCATTGGAAATCATTTGGGGGGGAGGGAGGAAAAAGCCTTCCCTCACCCCAAATTAAAATCTTTCCCGTGATTCTAAACTGAGAACTCAACACGCTGGATGACTTAGGCATTGTTCTCATTTGAAAATCCTGCTGTAAAGAACTGTCTGGTGTATGAGCGGATTCTGCTCTGAGAATTTGCTTTATGTCGCCCACTGAACCTGCATGTGTCATAGGTAGTGCTTTATGCTATTGTTTAATGTATTATGCTTTACCATAATGTCTGCAATTTCTTGATTCTAATGCTATTTTTCCATATCAGTTTACCTACTTCAGATTGTAAATAAGGGGGGAGAAAGAACAAAGATGCAACCTCTTGAATTAATGATTTTAAGGAACAGCTTGCGTATCAGTGATAGAGCCTTTGCTGTGCTCTCAGCAGAAATATTTGTACTAGGCTAAATATAAAGATTGACTCTTTTTGAGTCATCTTCCTTTTATTCATCCCTCAAAGTAATAGGTTGTGTGTGTGATGGAAGCACAGTTATTTACCTCTCTTCTTATAAATTCATAATTATGTTTTTCTCCTTATCAAGAACAATTTTGTACTTTCTAAGAAGTTAATGATGGTTTGATTCTTTTGGAGAAAAATAAGCCCTCCACTTCCCTCCTCTTCCTCTCTCCCCCTCCCCCCGCCTCTATTGAGGAGCTTGAATGGAGAGGCAGAAAAAGCACAATGGGGTGTGTTTCCCTTCTTTCTGTTGTGATAGAGAAGAGCTGGCTGGTGGATAGAATGTTCAGTGCCTCTCTACAGATGTGGCAATCTGGGCTGGGTGTATGTGGGGGTGTCACGTTACTGGAATTTGAGGGAAGCAGCCGGATCGTGGCTGCACCCATAGGTGGGGGTGCTGGCCCCAACAATGATATAGAAGGGGGCCATGTGGGGTATTGAATAGGAGCTTGTTGTTTGCTGATCCTGTGTACGCTATTTATGTGAGTGTTTAATGGCTGTGTGAGCAGATAGGAATCTGTAATCTGTGTGGAAGCTGAATATTTCTCTGAATGTGGTTAAGCATTGCTATGGACAGGCTGAGTAGCGAAGCCCTGTGGAACAATGGCACTTGATGGGCCAAGGACACACCTAAAGCATGAGGGCGGAGACCCAAGAGCTGCCAGAAGAGAGAGGCTGAGGACCAGGTGACCGGCTGAGACCAGAAGAGGCCAGGAAGGGGGTATAAAGAGGCCATGTGGTCGATGCCATTTTGTTCTCAGCTCAGCACTTCATCCCAGAGGCAGCATTGCAGGGATCGAAGAGCCCGAAAGACCTGTGAACCCATCCTGATCTTAGGATGTGCAATAAGAACTTTTAAACCAGCAGCTGCAACATCTCTGCTAGAGCCTGCATCGAGAACTGGGAGATTCGGTGCATGTAACGTACTGTACTTTAATAACCTTACTCTCATGCTTTTCTTTATGTTACTAATAAACCTTTAGATATAGATTCTAAAGGATTGGCCCAGCGTGATTTGTGGGTAAGGTCCAGAGGGTAAATTGACCAGGGATCTGTGGCTGGTTTCTTGGAACCGGACAGAACTTGTTCGGGGTAGGTGGGATTGGGTGCGAGGACCCCCCACCTGTGTATGAGACCCGGGGCCATCTGGGGCACTTCAGCAGCCTGCCAGGCAGGCTGCTGAAGCGCTCTGTGGGACTGGTTTGTGGCCTGTGTGGAGAGGTCACCAGTCTGGGGGCTGTAAGGAGCCCCGGATTTGAGCAATTCGCCCCGAGCGGACACCCTCAGCTGTGCCCAGACACGGCCCGGTCCGTCACAGGGGGTGTAAGAGTTGTCGGACCAAATGGGTCACTGAAACTGTAGTCTTCCCTGTGTTGCTGGGATTATGGTGAGGGAGAGTGCTCCTACTCAGTGGCAGTTAAAAGCCTGGCAATCTCTCCAGTGCCATGAAGGTTGGGGAGGGGTGGAGGCAGGGGATTCTCTATTGCTGTTAGGCTATATGTCAGGGGTGGGCAATAATTTTTGATGGGGGGGGCACTCCAAGATTTTGGAAAGTGGTTGAGGGCAGCACTCTTCCATGATATTAATGGAGGTGTGGGGTGGAGGTTGGGTGCAGGAGGGAGCTTGAGGTAAAGGACTGGGGTGCAGGAGGGAGACTAAAGTCTGGGCGGGAGTTGGGATGAAGCTGGCAGTTGTGACCTAGGGCAGGGGACTGGAGTGCAGGGGTTTGGGATGTGACCTAGGGTAGGAGGGGATTGTGATCTGGGGCAGGAGATCGGGGTGCCAGATCTGGGAGGGGGTATGGGTGTAAGAGGGGGACAGAGGGTTTGGGTATGTTGAGTGGAGGAGCAGAGAATTGGGGCAGGAAAGAGCTGGGGTGCCAGAAGCAGGCTGTGGCCAAGAGACTTACTTGTCAGCTGCCAAACTAGCCTGCCTGCCTGCCTGGCCATGTGCTTTATGAATAACTGAGCCCAGGAGAGGGGGCGTGATTCTTGGTAGCTGCCTGTTATTTCAACAAGCAGCTTCCATTGGCTGGTTTCTGGCAGAACCCAGCCAATGAGAATGTGCTGAGGGAGGGATGGCTTCTAAAACAACTCCCCCCCCCCCCCCCCACTCCAGTTTTAATACAGAAACAGAGCCCCGTAGTTGTGTTTCTGCACGGCGGGCGGGGGCAAGCTGAGGAGACTGCCTGAGGCTACCTGCTCCCTCCACAGGCTGGATCCAGCCCACCAGCCGTATTTTGCCCAGGCCTGTTATGTGTGGTGACAGTCAGGGGAGCTGATTGCAGCCAGCCTCCTGAAGACAATTCTTGCTGCCACAAAGCTTGGTGCCACCACTCCACTGTCTGTATTTTAATGGAACAAATACTTGACTGAGGATTAGAAACTAGGAATGAATGCTGAAGTGAACGTTGGTGGGCACTAGCAGGCGACTCCACTGTAGTGCAAATTAAATCACACATTTTAGTTTCC